GACCTTATGGGGATAGTCCTTCCAGGCCCTCTCCACTCTTCCGTCCTGCACCTTCTCTATAGGAATCTCGTGATGACCGTGCTACATCCTCCAAGGTTGAACTTGTCCCATCTTCTCGACAAGTCCAATGCTAACTAGGGCTGGTCAGCTGGTTTTCCCCTGGGGGTGGGGGGGTCAGGTGCACACAATGTGTATGACTCCAGGATGGAGGACTGCTCCCAGCAGGAAGGCACGGGTTCAGGGAGACCAGTTAGAAGCTGATGCTGGGACTGGAGCCATTGTTCTAGACTAGTCTGGGCTGGTAAGCCAGGGCCCCCCTGACCTAGGCTAGCCATGGCAAGGCCACTACATCCAATCCTCCTAGTGCCCTCTGCATCCACCTGCACTTCAGAGTGGCCCCTGCTGATTGGAAGTTACCCTCAAAGAAAACACCACTGTTAGAGATTTTAAATAAAATGTATTTTCTGCAAAATATCAGCAGTCCCACGATTGCATTTTCTCCACAATAACATGTTTAGTTAACAACACTGGCATTTACCAGGCACTTTCCTCCCTAGTTGCCCTGGTCCTTCACCCCCGTGGTTCTTACAGGCATGGCCACAAACCCTGGGGCATTAGGCAGGAGAAAGACCCTGCCTGCAGCTGACAGCAGGAGGAATGGGGGCCCATGGCAAGAACCAATGGGCTCAAGGCCTTCCTTTAAAAAAGAAATGTCAAGCAAAAACAAACAAAACTCATAGACACAGACAACAGCATGGTGATTACAGTGGGGGGAGGCAGAAGAGGGTAAAGGGTTATAAATGAGATGGAAGGAGTCTTGACTTGGGGTGGTGAATACACAATACAACACATAGATGATATATTATAGAACTGTACACCTGGAACCTATATAATTTTATTAACTATTGTCACCCCAATGAATCCAGTCCTATATAATAAAAGGCTAATATGCAAATAGACCAAACGGCAGAACGACCAGTCGCTATGATGCGCACTGACCACCAGGGGGCAGATGCTCAATACAGGAGCTGCTCCCTAGTAGTCAGTGCACTCCCACAGGGGGAGCACTAGGCTCATGGCTGGTGAGCACAGCGGTGGTGGCAGGAGCCTCTCCCACCTTCACGGAAGCGCTAAGCCATCAGTAGGACATCCCCCGAGGGCTCCCGGACTGCAAGAGAGCACAGGCCGGGCTGAGGGACCCCCACCAAGTGCACGAATCTTGTGCACTGGACCTCTAGTCCTATATAATCCTATATAATAAAAGGGCAATATGCAAATTGACCCTAACAGTGGAACAACCAGAACTACCACTTGACCAGTCACTATGAGGTGCACCGACCATCTCTTGGTCCCTTTCACCGGCCAGCATGATGGCGAACAGAGAACCAGGGATGGGTGGCAGGGGACACAGGCGGCGCCAGGCCAAGGCCCCCGCCCTGCCGGTCACCCAACACACAGAGGGTGACCTGCAGTGGGGGTAGGGCTGGCGAGCAGGTAGGAATGGCCAACTTCTCGGTCCCTCCCCCGGGCATCAGGCTCTGATCGCCCAATGGCAAACGGGGAACCTGGGATGAGTGGCGGCAGGGGGCAGGGCCAGCGAGCTGGCAGAATAGCCGACCTCTTGGTTCTTCCCCCCAGCTAGTAGGCTCCGATCACCTGATGGTGAACGGGGTACTGGGGCTGGGTGGCGTGGGACATGGGCAGTGACAGGCCAAGGCCCCTGCCCCATTGAAGGGAAAAGGATAGAGAGATAGAATCAATGATGAGAGAGAATCATTGACCAGCTCCCTCCTGCACACCCAACTCTAGGTGATTGGGCCCACAACTTGGGCATGCGCCCAGACCAGGAATCGAACCGTGACCTCCTGGCTCATAGGTCAACGCTCAACCACTGAGTCACATCAGATTTTTTTAAGCTCATAAAATTTTACATATTGTATGTGGAGCAAGCATTAAACTAGATGCTGGAGATACAAAGATGAATAAAATACTAGCAAGAAAAGAAAATGTCAACAAATACTGTCAAGATTGGGAGGTGGAGGGTGATGGGAAACTGCTTTCCCAGGGGAACAAGTATTAACTTCTCTTATGGAAAATGTGAATCATATAACTTTTGTTGTCCTTTTTTCAATGGAAGGAATAAAACTCAAAGTACAACCAACTAAAAAGTAATAGATATCATTTTTCACTCACCCTATATAATAAAAAGCTAATATGCAAATCAACCGAAGGGCGGAATGACCAGTCACCATGATGTGCACTGACTACCGGAGGGCAGATGCTCAATGCAGGAGCTGCCCCCTGGTGGTCAGTGCGCGATAGGAGGAGCACTGCTCAGCCAGAAGCCGGGCTCATGGCTGGCTAGCACAGCAGCAGTGGCAGGAGCCTCTCCTGCCTCCGCGGCAGCACTAAGAATGTCCGACTGATGAGGAGCAGGCCTAAACCATCAGTCGGACATCCCCCAAGGGCTCCCGAGAGGGTGCAGGACTGCGAGAGGGTGCAGGCCGGACTGAGGGACACCCTCCCCCCACCCCCCGCTGCCCCGCTCCCGCGTGCACAAATTTCATGCACCGGGCCTCTAGTTAGGTTATAAATAGTGGTATCTAGCAGTGACATTTTATCACTGCTTAGCTGGCATGGCCTCTTTGGAGAACAATTTTTATCAAGTATTTTAATCAAATTTTTCAATTTGTTTATCCAGCAACTCTACGTCCAGATATCTCCCCTGGAGAATGCACATGTGCACAAAGAGACCTGTATAAGAAAATTAATGGCCACATCCTCTATAATAGTAAAAGACAGGAAACCACCACATACTATGCAACAGTAACAAAGAATGAGATAAATCCATATGTACTGCTCTATCTGCTGGATATGTGCAATTAAGTGAAAATACTAAGTTGAATAATAATACAATTCCAACCCATTACTGTTAAAAAATAAGACCAAGATAAATCTTTTTAATGCACTCATGCACCTGTGGTAAGCACAGCTGGTTTTTCCCCACAGCCATCCCCCTCCCCCCCCCCTCACCCCCGCCCTCCGACCCGTTCCTCCTTGCAAACAGAATGCCCAGAGTTTTTCAAGCAACAGCCAGAGAGCTATGGGCTCAGGGCAAGCAGGCCCCTGGGATGAAGAGTAATTGGTTTTATGAAAAATTGGTTCTTTTTGCCAAAGAAACATGAGGGAAAGTTTGCAGGATGACTTCTAGGACAGACTTTCTCCTTTGATCAAAAGGAAAAGCCATGCTTAGCAGGGGTGGCTCAGTGGTTGAGCATCAACCCATGAACCAAAAGGTCACCAGTTCGATTCCTGGTCAGGGCACATTCCCTGGTTTGGGGCTTGATCCCCAGTAGGGGGTCGTGCAAGAGGCAGCCAACTCGTTTCTCTCATGGATGTTTCTTTCTCTCTTTCCCTCTCCCTTCCTCTCTCTGAAATCAATAAAAACATTTTTAAAAGAAAATTCAATATTTAAAAAAAAAGGAAAAGCCCTGCTAGGAAAGAAGCTGCTTTTCCCCAGCCCCTTCCTTCCACGAGGACTGTCCCGTGTGTGTGAGGATGTGGGATTGAGGTGCAGCAGCCATCGGTAGCCATGAGGCACCGGCAAAGAGAACCGCAGACGCACAGACCAGAGTGGTGCATTGTTGAGCCACCAAATGGATTCTAAAGCCAGTCAGCTACCTCTAGGCTTCTTAAGCAATAAATGTCCTTATGATTTAAGTCACTTTTTTTCAGGTTCTGTTTCTTGCATCTGAATACATAATTGACTCAACAACAATGGGAGAGAAAAAAACTACTAGCAAGATATACATCAAACTGTTAACAGAGGTCCCATGGGGAAGGAGGGAAAAAGAGGACTTTCACTTTCTAAAACATATATTTTCCCAAATGCTATATTTGAGTATTGCTAATGCCAAAAATGGGGGGGCGGGCCAGGGAATATACAGCTCAACTTTAGCAACCATGTATATGGCCTACGTATCTGGGTTCTAATTTCCCGTTTTCCCCAGGCCCTGGTTCACGTGTATTTTCCCTTTTTACTGTGTTTTCCAAATCTTACATGGAAAGACGGTAGAAGCAAACAATGCAACAAAGGGTATCAACCCTATCACAGAAGTCCATCTCGGACTTGCCGGATGTGCAGTTTGAGGCACAAAAAGCAAGGCAAGGAGGAAGCATCAGAAAAACAAAGGCGCGGGGGAGAAAAGCAGCCGGCTCCTCGGGGAACGTTCACGTAGCTCACTTTGTAAAGTGTATGGTCACCTAAGCACTCTGCCGTACACCTGAAACTAATACCAAATGGCACTGAATGTAAGCTGCAATTGAAAAATAACGTTAAAAAAGTATACACACCCTTCTTTGAGGACCACTCTTCATAAGGTTGGGGTGTTCCATCTCTCTGAAATTCAATTTACTTTCCTATAAAAAGGGAAAAAGAACAATGAGAATTTCCTGAAATATGTAAACTGGTATCATGATATCAGCACAAGTACAGCACCAGGGGCTCAGAAATGCTGTCTCAACCCCACATTCTCCCTTCTCTCCACACCTCTGACCCCAGCCCCCACTTCCTCCAGATAAGAAAAACAGGACGCTTTTTGTTGTGTGGGACGAATTTGGAAATGAATTCGAGTGACATCCCCAGTAGCTTAAGGGCTGACTGCAGGCGTAAGGAAGCACATCATTTTCACAGGCATTTGCCTGCCTCCACCCCATTCCCAAGCTCAAGTGTAAAAATGCTGGTCACAAGCCCTACAGCAGGTCACCTCACCCCGTGCAGGCTTAGAAAGGCTAATGTATCCTCACCAGGAACACACACGCAGGAAGGCAAGAGACGTCTCACCTGTAATTTGTTCAAAGCAAGTCCATAGACTAATAATCCTTTAGTTTAATATTTATGGGAATGGGAGAAGATAGGAGTGGGATACGCCAGACCTCAACTTGCTAATTCACCACTCCAAATAAACCCGAGTATAGCCTGTGTAGCTCTGGATGGCAAAATATCACTTCACAGCTCAAGGCAGTCATTCCTTCCTTCCTCCCCCCCACCCCCCCAAAGATATGAGCTACATTCATGTTAACTTAGCAACTGCCAACAGAGAATTGTGTAAAGGAGTTCATGATTGTGGCTCTTACCTCTTTGAAGTTAACTGAGCACTGGCTACCAAGAGAAGTATTAAGAACCTGACTCAAATCTCCAAATTCCCCAGAGAGTGAAAAAAACACTAAAAGGCAAGACATGGGATTGGTAGCATGTCTGTAGAACAAACAGCACATTTATCATCTCTCCAGGAGATTAGAACTGGGGGTTCTTGGCTCTGCCCCTAGGAGAGTATAAAAATGACCCAGAGATGTTAGAGTTAAAACTTAAATTCTGCTTCCATCGTTCTCTCTAGAATAACTCCCTGTGAATCTTTCAGCCTGAAAACCATATGCAGAATAAGCACATACAAGGTTTGGTAACCGTTTCTGAAACAACGGTTTGGCAGAAGCTAAAGACAAGGTGGTAAAAATCTACAAAAAGCCTTCCTTCAATTACTTCATAATCCAATGCTGCCCTCTAGCAACTCGAGAGAGGAATAACACTAACAAGCCAACGGTCAGGAATCTGAAATGTTCAGGATCAACTTTTAAAAATGTTGCTACAAGAGAAAGGGTCTCCACAATTGTACAATAGCCCATCTTAACACAAAATTTCCTTTCAGAAAGATGCTGGGATATGTCAACACAATCCACGCCTACTGGGCTACTCTGCAGACTGAAAAGGCCTGAAGACACCCGCCACTGACCTGTTTGAACACAGTTACGTGGGATTTATTACTTCCCCAGGCAGAGTCGTTTTATGTCGGATTTATTACTTCCCCAGGCAGAGTCGTTTTATGTCCCTGGAAAAACTTCCTCCCCCCTGACTTTTCCATGCTTTACAAAGGAGGTGGATTGAAAGCTCTTAGACCTACTTGATACTTCTCACAACCAATACTTCATAAATACATGGTTATCGTCTAAGTTTTTCCTAAGAAATGTAGGGACTAGTCTAAAGCAAAGTTATATTACAATTAAAGAATTATGGAATCAATTGCCAATCTTGGAACTCAAAGGAAACATTTAAGTCTTGGTAAGGAGTATTTCCAGGAAGGGGAATGGCTAATAATTAGGACAAGAGTAACAGGTTTAGTCACAACCACTTGAAGTACTACGTCCAGAAAAGGCTTTTCATTTCCATAATCACTTTTCCAGGACGACTTGGAAGTTCGAAATTCATTCTATGAGATGTCATCGCTCTCATGTCAAGCCGATCAGAGCCTGTCAGTTGTTACCCTGAAACATGGAGAGACCTACGCTGGGAAAGGAGGGCCTACTAATCAGGGCTGAGTGTGAAATAGGACAACACCCGCCTATGTGACTGCTGGCTGCAGACAGGTGTTTCCAATTTCTCAGGTTTTGTCTTAAAAGAAATGCATCCACATTAGTGCGTCTGTGTGCAGGTGGGGAGGGAAGAACCACATACATTTTTTTTCCATCTTTATTGTAAAAAGTATTACATATGTCCCCCCTTTCCCCCCCTCATTGACCCCTTCTATCCCACCCGTTCTCCCACATACATTTATTTTCAAACAAAAGTTGCCAAGTATTTATTATACATTTCTATTAACTTAAATATGTACAGTTGGCTCAAAAAATCATGATCCGTACATTATCACACATTCTGGAAAGCTTCTCAGATCTACCAGGATGGGCTTCTCTTGTGACTCGACTGAATCTGAGGAAAGAATAGAAGAAATCACACACCTGATGTATAACTGCTGGTCATCAACAAACATGTAAAAAACAAACAAACAAACAACATGTACTGACAATGTAATTTTCAGTGGCAAAATAGCTGGAGTGCTTTCCCCCAGTTAATGTTTTGCTCAATATTATTCTACTTTCAAAAATTCTTTCCTCTATTTAAATCTATATGCACTCCCAGTCTCTCCCCAACATGTATGAATCCCAAAGATCAAATCAGTCAATTGTAATGAATAGGCCCCCTGCAAAGCTCAGCCTCATGTCTACCATGTCTCATTTCAAAGGTCAAACCCTGGGAGAAGCAGCACGTCCTTCTGTTTTAAATTTTGGGCAGCAAAACTAATGACCAGACATTAACTAGGTCTATGACAATCTACTATTAACTAGCTACAGGGCAAGCACTTATAATCTCTCAAGAAACATATAGTATAAAGTAAGAGGATTTGAAGCTCCGGGAAGCTTTAATTCTATCTGAAGATACTTATCTCTCACTGTTCAGTCTCCTTTGTGGATTAAATGTTTAGTAATTACATTAGAGAGCTGACCTCAGAAGAAAAGGGCCAGATTACTATTGAAATTCCCAAGGACGCTCTGCCGGTGTGGCTCAGGGGTTGAGCAACAACCTATGAACTGAGATCATGGTTCGATTCCCAGTCAAGGCACATACCTGGGTTTTGGGCTCAATCCCCAGTGTGGGGCATGCAGAAGGCAGCTGATCAATGATTCTCATCATGTATGAGAATCTCCCTCTCCCTTCCTTTCTGAAATTTATTGATTTAAAGAAAAGAAAAAGAAATTCCCAAGGAAGATTCACGTCCAACCAGGCTCTTCCTGATCTACCTTCCGTCCCACTCCCCCAAAGGAATACATAGCCACACAGGGGCAAAGAAACAAAGATCAGCTAATGTGGTCCTTTTGCCACTGACAGCAATGGGTGTAACCTTAAAACCTGAAGAAGCAATTTTAAGGATTTTCTTACTTCAAATGATCTCTTTAGAAGTCTGAGTAATGGTGCAACCTGCAAAAGTAAAAGACAAATCATCTAAACAACTTTGTGATAACCCAGAGTACTGTCAATCAGATCACAGAAGGGCACTTAGGGATATTTTAAGGGGGTAGGAGGGTGGAGTATAATCAGTCATTCTCACCAGGCAGCTAGGCTGACTTCTCAATCGGACATTCTGAAGGAGTCTAATGCTAACACCTCAGATTTTAGATGAAAGTCTTAAGCTTGTCCCAAAGCATCAAATTGGGGTCTAAGAAATACCTGACCAGCCATACCCCAAGAAATGTTGTCAGTCCAACCTATTTGTCAGAAACTCTCACTGGAGAGCAACGCTCTGGTGGAAACGCTAATGGCCTGTGGGGCTTACTTAAACAAAAGAAAATTTCAGTTATAATAAACCGAAGGAAGAGAATTTCTAAGTGCAAGAAGACTCTATATTCTTTTATATAATCCAAACTGAAAGAATCACCAAAAATGATCTGAAATGAGGATGGAAAATATCAATTTTCCAGGTATAACCCATTTTCTTTTCAAAGTAAGTTGAACATGAAACCATATTGTTTGCTATATCCTTTTCACAGCTATATCCGCAAAGTCAATTTACATGCCTCCTTTTCTTCACTCCAGATTTCATTTTATTTCAAAAACAGACCTTCCCCAAAGCATATAAACATAAACGCAGGCTTCTATGCAGCACCCACTACCAACAGAAGGGAGCAAGGCGGCGGGGCTGTGATAGAAGTCACAGGTTTCCAGCTCTTCGGTTCTCCCTGAAGAGCCACCTGTCACAGAAATCTCCTGGCAACAATGCTACTAGATTTCACTTGGTCCTGCTCTATAGCCAAGTATATTGAGTGCAGAAAAGACCCTGGACAGAGCATAACTTTTGGATATCTTTGTGGTTAATGTCCTTATTTATAGCTTACAGCTGCAGGAAAAGAATTTTTTTTAAATGTAAATCTAATGAGTAAATAGCGAATTGCCAAATCAACATAAGGCACAAGAAAATGGCAATATTATTAAAGTGGCTACTTTTCCTCAATTTGACATTCTCAAAATACAGCTTACTCAACAAATAAAAAATAAAATTAAAACATCCCCAGGTGAACCTTTCTGCTAGTGCCATTTTATGGTTTTATGGTAGAAAAATGCACATTTTGTTAGATAATAGAGATGAGATGTCAAACTCTACACTCTACAATTAATAACTTATTGTAATTGATTACAGAATTAACAAATTATATGTAATTTGTTAACAATAGCATCTCTTCACACTTTCAAAGGAAGATTATAGATATTTCTGACTTTTACACATAAGTAATACCTACCTATACAGTAAGGCCCTGCCCTTTTCATTCCCCAAAGCAAAATATCCACTTCTTGGAGAAAAATCCATGGTATGCACAAGAGAAAGATTCTTCTGCTTAGAGACTGGGAAGTTTGAAAATACTGTACAGGAAGGAAGGTGAACCTGCAGGAAATAATGAAAAGCTTTACATTTCAACAACTGGGAACTCAAAAATTTTAATCTTCACTCTATCTTTTAGCTGGAACAAAAAGCTCATTTTGACTGTAGTACACATTAATGTAGCAAAATATTCCAAAATTAAAATTTGATTTTCAGCCGAAACCGGTTTGGCTCAGTGGATAGAGCGTCGGCCTGCGGACTGAGGGGTCCCGGGTTCGATTCCGGTCAAGGGCATGTACCTGGGTTGCGGGCACATAAGTCAATAGAAATACCCGTTAATGCTCTCACTTAATGACCACAGTAAAGAATACTAAAATCTGTCACAGGGAACGGTTCCTCTCTGTAAAAAATCAATAAAATATATTTAAAAAAAAAAAAAAAAAAAAAAATTTGATTTTCAAATTTGAGAGGGAAGGGAAGGAAGAGAAAAAAGCGTTTTCTTGATGTTTTTAAAGCTGCATCTAGCATGGTGCCTGGGAGATTCAAATGCTTGCCAAATAAATGAATAAGTCAATAGAAATACCCGTTAATGCTCTCACTTAATGACCACAGTAAAGAATACTAAAATCTGTCACAGGGAACGGATACTTTAAACATTATGAAGAGCCAAAACCGGTTCGGCTGGGTGGATAGAGCGTCGACCTGCGGACTGAGGGGTCCCGGGTTCGATTCCGGTCAAGGGCATGTACCTGGGTTGCGGGCACATCCCCAGTGGGAGATGTGCGGGAGGCAGCTGATCGGTGTTTCTCTCTCATCGATGTTTCTGGCTCTCTATCTCTCTCCCTTCCTCTCTGTGAAAAATCAATAAAATATATTTAAAAAAATAAAAATAAAAAATAAAAATAAACATTATGAAGAGTCTGATTTTACATGACTGAAGCCTCGGAAAAGCCATGCCACGTATTCCAATAGCATGTAACTTATTTTCTCGCTTTTACTTTTCAACTATGCCACACATCCTTTGCCTTTGGCAATCTCTCCTCAAGGAGGACTGGATCATGAAAACCTGGTTTCTCAAGTGAAACTGTGTTCTGATTTAGAGCTGAAAGCTCCCCTCAAGGCCAGGCCTAAGCACACAGGCACACAGCCTCTTTCTCCACGAGTCTCCGGGGAAAAAGGAGCCCAAGTCCAGGATAGGCGAGACAAGCCCTCACCCGGTTTGCAGATAAGTAAAACTCAAGCATGGAATCAGTTACCTTAAGCAGAATAGGACTTTTACAGCCTCACTTTCAAATGTTCTCTAGCTCTTCCAAGAAACACAGCACCCTCACATTCATACACAGTTTTATCATTCAGCCGGTTATCTTGGTAGTCTGCCATCCTCCACATTTCTAGATGAGACTTTAAACCATCCAATCAGGTGGTTTTCATAGACAAGTACCATTAATATATGCATTTGTCTATTAAACAGGTTTTAGTCAGTCACTTACCAGTATTAGATCCTACTCCCTGATATATACCTATGGACCATTATGTCAAGAAAGTATGTAGTGAATCCCCAAGTCATTTTTAATTATTCTCGACTTCTCCAGAAGACAGGCCTCACTGCATAGCATGGCATCAATGCAAAGGCATTAGTGCCAATGAGAAGTGGTCTTGACCCATTAAAGCTAAGAAGTTGGCAGTACCCAATTTGATCTTAACCTTTAAACTTCTTAAATACCACTCTGTATAGGGTCTTTAAAAAATTTAAATATATATATTAAAGTACATAATAAAGCACATTAGTATTTTAGGAGAGAAGCCACAATATGGATATTGCAGAAGGTTTTACGCTTAGTTTGGGAATGCAGGAATTACGAGTTTTGGCAAGTGGCTTGGCTTCTTAATTATTTTGTTTAGTTAGTATAAGTTTGCACCTCCAAGCATGCACCAACTTGAAAAGGTGATCCAAGGCGTCAGGGGAGCAGACCATCAGGAAATAACCACTTGCTGTAAGGGCCAAGGACAGAATTGCCCCAAGCCTTACTTTTACTTCCATCCTATATGTAACCTGCTCTTCAAACTATGCCCATATATTTGCTCATTAACTCTTCTGTCATGACTTGGAAGTTTGGGGACTGCTTTGACTCTTCCAAAACAAAATATACCGGAACCAACCTATCTACTTGAATGACTTCTTAAAGAGAAGTGTATTAAACTACCTTTTTATTTTCTAACTGAAATTGGAAAAAACAGCCTCCTAATTTGGATTCATGTTACTTTATACTTAAGTCAACTGCTTATTACAAATAGGAACTCCCTACAGGGCAAAAGTTGGGGTACAAGACATATAGTAATATTTTTAAAGCTAATTTTTAACAGAAGGTAGCTGTGTATTTTAGTAGCTAAATCAACAGAACAGAGTACCAAAATACTGTGGTAAATACACACACAACGCCTTAGATGTGGTGCCTTCATGCAACAAATAACCTACACACCGGTACAGAGTGGCCATGTACCGGTCTTTCTATTGGAGAATGAACATCAGCTTATCAACAACTCATTTTATCTCCTTACTGACTTGGCTATTGGGGGCAAAAACTAACAAACTGTTTACAATGTCCTCCCAAGAGACTCTATCTATGTGCAAATCCCCATTGTAATCTCTCGCTGCATTAGCACATCTTTCCTCAGACCTGTGACCTACCTGGTTAGAAGGTGGCAGTGCTCTAACCTCTATGGTTATCGTCATTTTAAGGTATAATTGAACAATTAAAACCAAACTTCTTTACTTTAGAAAGTTCCCTTTATCTCCAAACACACATCTGTCATTACATTTAAGGGCCCAGATATCAAAATTCAACAAGTAAAGCTTGCTCATCCTTAATTTAATAGATAAGAAGTTCTCCAACTTTCTACTACATCCAAGATTACAGATGTAATAACAATTTAACAAAAGGGTGGATTACAAACAAATATTTGGTAATACGCAGTTACAATCGGCCCGAGTTTACACGTTTCCCACACTCCACCGCAAATCTATATGAACCGAGTTAAAGACGGCTCCCGCGGAGTACGCGCAATTCACGCGAGCCGACTTAACTCGTTTCCCGCACTCCAAGTGTTAATTTAATAGATAAGAAGTTCTCCAACTTTCTACTACATCCAAGATTACAGATGTAATAACAATTTAACTTCCTGGTCTCTTAATGGCACAATGCTTTAGATTTATATTCACTGTGCTGTGCTGAGATAACAGAGCTGTTTGGATCGTTATGAGAATGCATTTAATGATGCTAACATTGTTTCACAGAGATATTCTGAAGTTGCTAGGCCCAGCTTCTTTCCATTAGATATTATGGTTGACTAACATTTAAAAAATGGGATTTGGCTGTTACTAATGAATTCCTTGTGTGATTTTACCACAATAAAACACCATAAATGCTGTCCTAATCACTGAAGCAAACTAGGCAGAATTTACTAGGCATCTTGCAGATATATTATGTCTGCCTGAGATAGATCCCATGGTTTTATAAAACAATTTACTACCACTGAAATGATCAATGATTAATATGTCCTAGTCCACCACCCCTATTAAAGGAATGGAGATTTTAAAGCTGACTTGAATTAGAACCTTCTCGTTTACCAAATGACTCATTCAACAGAGGCAATAAAACAATGCTGTATTTTTCAAACACTTTATTCTAGCAGAATCCTTTTCCTCCTCAAAGAAAGCGTTACGCAGAATGCCATATGTACCAGGTAACAGTGAGGCTGCTCTATGTGATACAGGTGGGAGCTGGGCCTCCTCCTTGACCTACGTGCCATCTGAAGTCCTGCACACATTCTAGGGCTCCGAGGAATTCAGTCAAAAAACTAAAGTGCTAGAAAAAATATGGAATCTAGACGTACAGTACTGCCCTTCACTAGCTGTGACTTTGAGTAAGTCAATTCTGAGAATTGTTATTTGACTCATTTTTTTGTAGAATTCTCTGTAAATCTTTGTAAACTATACACTATTATACAAAGCTGATGAAGCATGCCAGACTCTTTGCTGAATGAAAGGTAAAAATAACAGTCTGTGAAGTGCCTTCCACCTGGTAGTATACACATAATAATACACATAATATACAGTATTGCACAATGCAATACTGCCATTCAAAGTTCTATGCCATCTGTATACCTAGTGCCTAGAGCAAATAACCATTAAATGAGTGAAGAAACTGATTCTGCTTAAGGGGAAAGAAACTTACAGAGATGCAGTGACTTGTAAGCTGAGCTCTGAGACTGGGCAGAGAAGAGTTAACAGAGGCCTGAGGCTGCTTTCCTTAGAAAGGCCCACTACCCACAAGGGGGGCCCTGAGATGGTGTCTGGGAACTTGACTGGTACACAGTCCCCTACACTGATCTGAAACTTCCTCTAAGTGACCAGGGTGGCGCACTGCACTGAACACCTGCCTGTACCCCTGGGAGCCTAGAATTTTGGTACATGCTGGGCAGAGGGTCCCTACATATGATCAACCCCAATAAAAACGTTGGCACTGAGTCTCTAATGAGCTTCACTAGAAAACACTTAACATATGCTGTCACATCTCACTGGAGGAGTTACACGTGTCCGGTGATTCCACTGGGAGGGGACTGTTGAAGCCTGCGCCTGGTTTCCTCCGGACTTTGCCCCAGGCCGATTTTGCTCTGTATCCTTTCCCTGTTAACAACTCTTAGCCATAAGTGTGACTATATACCGAGTCCTGTGGTTCCTCCTACAAAATCACCAAACCTGGGAGGAGTCCTGGGGACTCCTAGTACAAAGGTATATTCACAAGCACTACCTAGCTATTTAAACTGCAATCTTTTAAAAAAAATATATTTCTCTTGACTTCAGACAGAGAGGGAGAGGAGGAGAGAGGAAGAGGGGGAGAGAGGGAGGAAAAGAGAAAAACATCAATGATGACAGATAATCATTTTTTAAAAATATTTCTACTGATTTCAGAGAGGAAGGGAGAGGGAGAGAGAGAGAGAAACATCAATGATAAGAGAGAATCATTGATCGGCCACCTCCTGCACACACCACACTGGGATTGAGCCCTTAACCCTGGCGTGTGTCCTGACTGGGAATTGAACCTCATGGTTCCTAGATCAGAGCTCAATCACTGAGCCACAACGGCCGGGCTAAACTGCAATCTTTTTACACAATTTATTTTCAAATCTAAAACTTGCCTCCACTTCACTAAGACAACATACCTCAGAAGGTAGGTGAGGAAAGAAAACTGAAGAGGAAAGAAGTGTTTGCCTTAAACATACTCCTTAATAATATGCTGAAAGAAAGAAACCTGTGAAAATGAAGAATAGCCACTTATGAAATTTAATAAAACAGTACAGCTTTCCCAAAACAACTGACATAATACAAATGTGGTGGCTACTGTGCATCTTTCCTACAACCACACCCAAAAGCGACAATACTAGTAATTTCTACATCAAAAGAAGCTACTCTTTAAAATAATACACTCTCACCGAAACCGGTTTGGCTCAGTGGATAGATAGAGCGTTGGCCTGCGGACTGAAAGGTCCCAGGTTCGATCCCGGTCAAGGGCATGTACCTGGGTTGCGGGCACATCCCCAGTAGGAGATGTGCAGGAGGCAGCTGGTCGATATTTCTCTCTCATCAATGTTTCTAACTCTCTATCTCTCTCCCTTCCTCTCTGTAAAAAATCAATAAAAAATATATTAAAAAAATAAAATAAAATAATACACTCTCCTTTCCTGTTATTTTTCCATGTCTTCAACTTAAATTTTAAAATTATCAATGATAAAAGGAAAAGGTAAAGAAATATTACCAATCTGACTGCTTCTTTCATTTTTTCTGAAGCAATTGCCAAGATTTCTGTGGTAGGATTGAAGGTCAAAGAAGAAACACCGGTAACCAAGTTCATTATAGCTTTTATCGGCTTTGGGTTTGTTTCTTGGAGACAAGAATCTTGACTGTATATGTTTACCACTCCACAGTTAGAACTGCAAAGAAAAAAGGGAATATGACAGGTTAAAACCAGCAAAGGGAAGAGCAAAGCCAAAGGGGCCAAGACGGTCCCGGGCCTATCTGAACATCTAGCCCCACCAGCTTATGCTTCTGGACAGCAAGACCCACTGGACCTCCCTCCCAGGGAGGATTTGACCAAAATCTCTTTAGGGATCAACTGTGTTTAGGCTAAGAAAGTCATAAAAATCCACTTCTCCAAGTTCTAAAACTACAGGTGCTGGTTGGTGGTTTGGTGGGTATGAATTACAGGTAAGTATTTAATGCCTCCTCCTCCCACCCTGGATCCTTAGAATCAAGCAGGGGAATGAAGCCATTGTTTTCCAGTGATCACACAAGAACGTCCTAGATCAGTGGTCGGCAAACTTCGGCTCTACAAACCGCGGCTGGTGAGCCACATGTGGCTCGCGAGCCACAGTTTGCCAACCACGGCCCTAGATAATACTTTCAAAATTTCTACAGTACTAACAAACAATATTTCCAAAGAACATATGTTTTTGGTTTATACCACCTAGCCAGATGAAGGCAAAAATGCTTTAAGTGCCTTTAAGGCTAAAACAAGTAACTAAAATAGTAATAGGAAAATTTGATGTGATCAAATAGATATTTCAAATATAAGAAAAATACATATGTTTTTGGTTTATACCACCTAGCCAGATGAAGGCAAAAATGCTTTAAGTGCCTTTAAGGCTAAAACAAGTAACTAAAATAGTAATAGGAAAATTTGATGTGATCAAATAGATATTTCAAATATAAGAAAAATACAATGAAACAAGGCAGTCCAGTGTTTTCTTTGCTAAAGAACAGATAAACCACCAATAATATTATAAGTCACTGCATTAAGACAACAAAATGTAAACAACCTGGGTTTACTGATTTCCTATTACTCAATAGTTTATAAACAGTACTTAAGCACCATTTAGAATATCCAATTCTTTAATATTTTCTCATTACCACAATGTGATTCTCTTTACTCACCCACAAGCCACATACTGTCCATTCCTAGATGCTGCAATGCTCAATCCATATAAACTGCCTTCATCAACAAACCTGTTCAGGCACTTCCTAGAGTTCACATCCCAAACGTAAACTTCCCCATCCGCTGAATGAAAGAGCCAAAGAAGGTTTGGTTAATTTTGTTTTAAACTTGAAAGGCAAGTGAACTGACTGATCTTAGTCCCTCTTGAACAGGACAAGGGACTACAAATAAATACCTACTACCAATAACCTAGATCTACAAAACTGGCCTAAAAATATTTCTTGCATACGTTCCCATGTATAGAAAACTGCATTCTCAATTAGTCATTAATAGTATCTTTAGATTTAGAGTGAACATCACAAACTCTTATCTTGAGTTGAGCTTTTAGAAAAAGCTTCTACATTTCACAGATTACTGGAGCAAATTTGAAAAAAAGAATAAAATAAAAGAATAAAATACTCACCAGCCCAGGTTTTCTAAGATCTATCAACAAGTATTAGAGCACCTAATATGTGAGGCTAGGTGATTTAGATGTCAGATTGATGATAATGTTGATGGTGAAGCAAAGGAAGTGAACTGATCCAGACCACAAGGAATTTATAACTTAATTAAGAAACTACACAATTTATCTATTACCAAATAATTTAAATAACAAGGAATGCTAAATATAAACAACCATAAATAGTTTTGAGAAGGGAGAATTTGTACAGGAAGAATATTAAATCTGAAGAGAACACAAATATTTTCGTAACAGAAATGGCCATCTAATTGCCAAAACCAGTCCTTAATTTTTTTTCTCACACCTATAGCCATCAGTATTGATGATCACCCTCTTCTCCACACCCAGTATCAATTTATTTCTATAATAACCCTACAAGTATCTCAAACATGGCTCTTCGCTCACCTATTTCAGCTCTTCCTTTTTTGTTTATATTGCTCTCAAGTTCACTGTTCTATATACTTTTATCCTCCTCATGGAATTGAATAAATCTCACTGTTTCTACTCTTTCCTTAACAAATAAAATCTCCCAGGCTGGCATACAGATTTAGGGTAGGTAGCAGGGAAATATAATTGGAAAATTTTAATAGCATCGTATTTCAAAACTTTGTTTTTCTGCAGGGTAATGGTACAATAAAGAAAGGTGTTTAAAGATTAGCTAGCAATCGACTAAAATGGAACAGAGGGATCAAGGGCAGAAAGGTCACCCAGAGAGCAAGTCTATTTAAATGATCACAAGTTGATGAAGACTTAAAGCAAAAGAGGCAACAATGAATCCATGAGGAAAAAGAAAAAAACTGATCAAGTTGAAAAGAGAAAAGGTAAATTATTTTTTCAATTATCCTTCTATCTCAAAACATTCTTTATAGGTAACAATATGAACAATATGATGTCAACCACATAAACTACTTCTTTCAGAAGAGAAAAGGAAGAGAGGAAAGAGAACAGGGGGGAATAACAAGTAAAATATAGGCAACCCCCCATTACCAAGACTCAACTTGTGATTACATCTTCCCTCCTTTTAGGGCCTTTCTTATGCTAAATTTGACCTCCATGGTGACCAAATTTGTAAATATTTTACATTCACATCCAATTCATATACCAAATCTCAGTACTCCTGCTGCCTCTCCACCTCTTCTCCCCAACTCTGACTCTCCCAGGGCCCAAGAGCCATTTCACTGGGATTATTACTCTCAACCAATATTTGTTCCGTACCTCTCAGAAAACCTAGGATAGGGACTATAGATACTGCTGACCTTCTTATATTAATTGGTTAAAAAAAAAAATCTAACTCAGTTTTGTGAAAGTTTGATTCTAGGCCAAAACAAAACTTAAATAAAAGTTAATGCTTAAGTTAATCTTCTTTTAAAACTTTAAAAAATGTTATAGTATCAAATGCTCCTTGCTGAGGTAAAATAAAAACTATGCTAAAAAGCCCTGCAGAGATTATGAGATGCCACTCCTGGGCAGAACCACTCAAACGCCCCCACTACCAAACAGCATGGACTACACTGAGATTGGGATGGCCCTCAAAATCCTTCAGGAAAGGGAGCAGGAGGCAAAGATGACGACACTGGTCAGAAAGGCAGAAGAGCAGGAAAGCACAAGATAAGGGAACATCAGGGATGATAAAGAGCTGGTCAATAGTGCTGCAGAATATCAGGAAAGAGGAGGTCTGAATTGCTTTCAGTGAACAATAAAGAAAATTCCAAACATTATACAAGTCACCAGGAGCTAAAAGAAAAGGGGTGATGATTCTACGTAACTTTCAAAAAGAAAGTCTTAGAATGACTCATCTTTTAAATAAGCATTTACTTTCCCTCTTTTCCTCAAACATGTTAGTGGTGTATGTTAAATGGTTAGCTCTTCACTATTATTAGCTAGTAAATGAGAAGGCCAATGGCAACAAAAAATGCATGCTAAAAACAAAACTGATTTGCTTACTAAAACATAAAGTCTAAAATCAAACACAATTTTTGATTAAACTTGAAATGTAAACACCTTCAAAGCTTCAAAGAAGCTTCTGATCATGTCATTAACTTACCCGAAGAGGCGTACACTTTCTTACTATCTGAAGAGAACGTGGATGCTGCAATCCTTCCATTTACTTTCATGCTACTAATCAATTCTTTAGTCTAAAAAAGTAATAAATATTGCTTATCAAATCGCTGGAGGAGGTGCACTGAAGAATCACACCTTGTAGCATAGGAACAACCAGTTCTCCATTTTGTAGCACCTACTCGGTGTTGTTTTTCCCTGTACCCCAAAGTTCTCCCCCAACTGCCCACAGCTTCTCCCCAAGTGCCACTCTGCTCCTCTACTTGGGATGCAGACTTACGGACACCATGAGTTATGGTTCAAGACCATCCCTGCACTAATGTCTTATCCTAGAAGAAGCAACGACTAATAATGCTTCACCTTCATTGACAGCAAATGAAAATATCCAGCAACGCCATTTATGAGCAAGAAGGACCCATCTGAGGAGACTTCGAAGCTCCTTACTATCTTCTCTTTCAAACCTGAGGAAGAAAGGGGAATCAATTAAATAAGGATTAATATGGTTTTCCATAAAGCTATCTTTCATTGACAATTGAGTGTTTCTGATCTTTTAAAATATCTAAGTACCTCAAATTAAACAAAACCTAGCCTCAGCCACTGAATAAGTCTGACCCTCCTTCCACTCTCCCTGAAAAACAATGGAAAAAAATATCTTCAGGTGAGGATTAACCAAAAAAAATTTTTTTAAAAAAAGGGTAACTGTATTTTCATCCAAAGCTTACAGTATATTATACTAGTTATATAGCGTTTTGCATTTAACCTCACAAAAAATAGTGATAATTGCTAGTATCAGTATTATAATTGCTCTTTACAAATGCTGGACCTTTCAAAATAAAAGTCAGATAAAATTTACAATGTGGCCTAAGGAAAGAAGATACAATGCTTTAAAGATGTCAAATACAAACCTTTTTATAGATTTGTGAAGATTTTTAGGTCAACTGCTGACAATTGATAAGAAAAGGGACGGCCAATTTCCATAGAATAGTAAGTGGGTTTGTGATAGGCAGTTAGATGGACATTTGGCCAGGTACAGGTCACTAGGGCGGAAAGCCTCAGGTGCCTACCAACAGGCAAAACTGGAAAAACAAGGACCTCGCCCCAGAGTAACCTTTCCTCCGTTAGCATATAGCTGGTCATGCAGTTTAGACCCCTTGACCTTTCTTATCATTGATCACGTGGCTCCGACTCTCTCCTGGCATGTCACTAGTCATGCATAGACACAGACCCCCTTGGAGAAGGAACAAGGGGCTGAAGAAGACTCCCAGGCAGGCCCTTGCATGACCACTCCCTTAAGCATTAACCCCTAGGGATAACATCGAAGCCTCAGTTTTGTTTCAGCTCCAGGACCAGAAAAGCAGCAGCGCCAGACAAAGAGATACCATGGCTGACATTAGGACCAGATAAACTGACTAATGACCCTCTGCCCTGGCACCAACCAATCACTGGAGACCACAACCCTGATTGAAGGAACACACCTGGAAAGCTGATGTATATTCTATTGAGACCCTCCCGAGATTTCCCAATAAATACCCCCGAGACAAGGATCTAGTGCATGCCTTAAAATACAGTCCAACCTCTAAAAGCAGTACTTTATTTCCTTTAAATGTAAACCAAAATTCTACCATAACAAACACTAGAATTAGAGGTTACCAAAATTTCCTGAAGAGCAGAGAGGTGAAATAATTTGATGAACCAAGTGAAACACACATCTTCTACCTCCCAGGCTCATGCTCTTCCCTCTGCATTAATTGCTAATTTTACAGACAAGTATTTGCAACTGCTTTTCTGGTCTAGGGGGATATATATTTCCAAATTACGATTTTCCCATAATAAGTGTTCAATGCAAAGCCAGTTCACTGTTTTCATTCAAACATTATTTCAACAATGCACTGACATTTTCTAAACAATACTATAACTAAAGAAACTTATTTTTAAGAATCCTATAGGGAGGGAGCATTTGATCTTGCTCCCCAGCATAAGTCATCATTTTGGCTCAAATAAATCCTTATAAAAATTCTCTTAAAATTATGAGGAGGAAACTAAGTGGCTGTAAATACTGTTAAATGAACTCAGCTATGGCTGGGGAGTTGGGGGATGACCAGCTATGTGTTCAACAGAAAGCTTACCTCTCACTTGATGTACTGGAATTAACTTTCCGGCCAGCATATCATAGACATAAAGCACCTTGCTGTGGGTACTTGTGGCTAAAACCTCTTCTCCATTAGCACTAAAACAAGCCTTAAAGATTGGAAACTTTTCCAAATAGATGCTCTGAATTTTAGGATTTGTTTTCCCATCAACCTGTAAGGAAGTACAAAATATTCCTTTTGGTTATTTCCATAGACCCTATATCCTGGTAGCAAACTTTTCACTCCAAGTCGTCATTTAAAAATGCAATGACATACCTGAAACAGTGATACAGAGTTATCTAGGGCAGCAACCATCACCACCTGAGCACCAGGATGGAACTGCACAGACGAGATCCGAGCAGTCGTAGGACGTTCAGCATTGGCATGTAGGCAGTTCTTCATCTATGGAAAAATAAAGCTGGAATTTTATCAATTCGAATGGGTTAACATTATTTTCTTTAGAGCATGAAGGAAAGACATTATAAAATAGTTTATTTGCAGAACAAAGCCCACTGGAATGGTACCAAAAGACCACAGCTCTGCTACCAACTAGCAGGTCATTTTACCATACAATAATCCATTTTTACTATCTATCAAATAAGGATTAGATTAAGCTCGTGGAGCACCAGGATACAGTCACTTCTCCAAGATGCACCCTATTGGTTTGGTTTTTTTTTTTTATCTTCATCTGAAGACATATTTTTATTGATTTTTGAAAGAGGAAGGGGGAGAAACATCAATGTGAGAAACATTGATTGGTTGCCTCCCATGTGCACCCCAATGGGGCATTGAACCTGCAACCTAGGTATGTGTCCTGACCAGGAATCGAACCCACAACCTTTTGGGATACACCCTATTTGGCTTAAAAGACTGACTTCCAGGGAAATTTTACCTAAAACTATGCAGCATCTTTGCATTCATGGCACAAAATAAGAGGTTCTATGATTAGCATGACGTACTTATGTTCTGCAGGGTGTGTGGTTGTTAGTTTAAAGTAATGACTATCTCATGCATCATTCGAACTACTTTCAATTATTTGTTTTTATAGGGTTTTCCTTCTATATTAAAATTTTAATTACATAAAAAACAAGGTATTATGTGTATGCTTTATAACCACTGAAGTTTAATTTTTTTGGTGACTCCATTATCAATGGAGGCGAATTCACCCTACGAGCTCAATGAATTGTCTTAAGGTGGGGGGAGACAGAATCACTTTTTCCTAATAATTTGTCACAATAGGGTCCCCTTCCCCATCCAAATATACATGCCACGGCTTTATAGTGGGGAAAAATATCCATGTCAAAGAGAGATGTGTCCATGTGACAGATGTTTAACTGAAGCACGGTGCTGGGTAGGCACTCGGTTACTGCAATGAACAAGCTAAATACAGTGATGAGTTAGAAAGTAATGAGTGTAGACCACTTTAGATACAGTGACCCGGAGAGACCTTTCTAAAGTGTCATTTGAGCAGAAGGGGAATAATGAGCTGGCTATTAGCAGCACCTGAAGAACAGACAGGCAGAAAGAAGAGCAAGAGCACAAGTTCTGAGGCAAGAAAGGACTCAGCTCATTCAAGAAACAGAAAGAAGGCCTGCATAGCTTGACTAGGAAACACGAAGAAAGGTCTGAGATGAAGTTTTGGATGTAGGCAGAAGCCAGACCATGAAGGGCAGCATAGACCATGAAAAGGAATATAGAAGTTTTCAAAACACAATGAAAAGTGACATAATGCTTTATTTTAAAAATATCTATATGAAGAGTAGTTCAGGAGGAAGCAAAGTGGACGGGGGAAACGAGTTACAAAGCTACTGCAGTAACCGGGGTGACAGAGGACAGCAGAATGAACTAGGCTGGTGCCAAGAGAAATAAAGAGAAATGCAAGAGGAGAAATCAAATAGGATTCCTAAAAGATTCCTAGGGACATCATTTAACTTTCTTGATCATTTTTGTAACAGATGAAAAACTAGCATAAGTATTTACCAAGGCAAAATGACAGCAAACACATTTAGTCCCACAGATAAAAGGAATCCATAGTTGTAAGTGGGAAGCATACTGAATTTCAGAGGTAATTAGCTGGGGAGGCCCAACTTCACTGACTCTCACCTTTAAGATTCCTTTAGGAAGAGAAGTCGATGTGGATATGAAATTCCCAGTCCTTTGCAATAAATCATCTTCATCCTCTTCACTTTCATCTAAGTCAAACAAACCCACAAGGCTGATCTTTAGAGTAACTGAGATGAGCATTACCTACCCCAGATGTCTATAGTTGAAACCTCAACTCCCTTACCAGCCTCCCAACCTTAACTACTTTATTTAAGCTGCAATTGGTAAAAGTAAAACAGCAAAATAAGTTTGAAACAGCAGAAAAGGATGACACAGAGCTCAATATATATGATCAAAATCAAGCCTGACTCTAGAATGAAAGACACACATTCACAGACAGTGACTAGAACAAGATGAAATGAAGTTGAAATAAACTCAGCATTTAATTTGAAAAGAATTCATATTGAGTTCTTTAGCAAAAGGGTGGACAGCAGAGCTAGCTTAACAGCTCTCATGAAAAAGAACTAGAACTGAAAGACCAATGTCAGCAAACTGCGTATTAGAACTTCAAAGAGAGCTAAGAGCACCCTGCTGTGGCTCAGTGGTTGAGCATTGACCCCTGAACCAGGAGGTCACAGTTCAATTCCTAGTCAGGGCACATGCTCAGGTTGCAGGCTGTCCCCAGTGCGGGGTGGGGTGGGGTGGGGGGGGGGTGTGCTGATGGATGATCCTCTCTCTTTATTAATGTTTCTATTTCTCTCTCCCTCTCCCTTCCTCTCTGAAATCAATAAAAATATGCATTAAAAAAAAGAGGGAGAAGAGAGAGTACATGATGTGATATATTTAAGCGGAGGCTAAATTATCATCTAACAGATGTTGTAGAAAAGGTTCTTGCAGTGAATAAAGTAAGCTACCACACTAAGATTCCCTCAACCTCTACAAGTATCTGGCTGGAAACCAGAAGACACACTTCTATTTAATAACAGGTTGAGTTTCCACAGCACTATATAAAACAAGTAGCTCCTTTGTATGGGGGCTCCCTGTCCTTTAGTACTATGAGGACTGATGGGTGTGGTGAAGGTGTACTTTACTACCATGAGGACTGACAGGTGGAGGAAGGGAGGAGAGGTGGTAATCAAACAGAAACTCATCAGATATCAAGGATGCTAAGGAAGGACTCCTGAATTATGTGGGAGGACTTATCTGGGACTCCCTAAAGGATTTCAAAGGTCAATTCCAAGTATAAAATTTATAACTCCAAGCACATAAATCAGATCTTGGCTTTGCCATTCATAGTTACATCTAAACTCAAGGATCTAAAAAGCAGGAAACAGTTATGGTACAAACCAAACTTAAAACCTGGAACTGAAAAATAAGTTTTTATAAAGTGACTAATCATCTGGGCTTGACCTGACATGTGCTCCTTAGGCAGACATCCCATTTCCTACTGGTCAGCTGAATTAGCTGCCAATGTCTTCAGAAGGGACTATGAATCAAGAAGTAACAGTACTACTCATTTTTCCTTAACCCTATGCCATAAGGCAACAGTTCTGTTGAGGAAAAAATCATAAAATCCATCCATTATGTCTTTACAGTGGAGAATATGCTGTTAAGCAAGCCTTACATTATTGCAAAAGGGCTTCCCTCAGAGAAATGGTGGACTTCAAAACCAGGTTGTTTTTTTTAAAAAGACATATTTGAAACACCAAGTTTTGTTTGTTTTTTAAATATGGAACGCTTCAGGAATTTGCGTGTCATCCTTGCACAGGGGCCATGCTAATCTTCTCTGTATCGTTCCAATTTTAGTATATGTGCTGCTGAAGTGAGCACGAAACACCAGGTTTTAATGAGCCTCATGAGAAAGCTCAAATAATAACAGAACAGGAATAGAACTTCTTTACTAATAAACAAAGGAATCAACACTTACCATCTGAAGATGCTTTCCGCTTATTAGTCTCTACCCAGGCAGGTACTCCCCCCATGGCATGCTGAAATCTAAGCAAAAAACATGAAAAATGTGTATGGTAACCACTGTATGTTCATAGAGCATGATACATTTAAAGAATACAGGTAAGACCATCCTTGAGAACATGTTCATATTCTCTTCCAAAGAAGAGAACAAAAAGAACAAAATAGTCCCAATGAACTTATTTGGAAACTTTCATGAATCTCTATCTAAACTAGTCCTGGATACAGGACACCTGGATACATATTTGTTGTTAATTATTTACATCTAGTTATATGGTTGTCTTATTTGCTCATTTCAACACATCCGAGATCTTGGGACTCATCCCAGATGCTGAGCCCTACCATCACCAGGATTTCCCCTTGAAGGAATTTTTTAAAAACCCCGGCACAGAGAAAAAGATCAGACTTGAAAGAGGCTGAAACAACTAGAATTGGAGGGGCGGTAGACTGTAGATGAGAAAGAGTTCCAGAAACCTGCACAGTAGTTGGCAGACACTTCTGCTGAATACTAAGCTGCACACTCATAGGATGAAAACTCCATGAGGTGAGGCCAACAACTACCAAGGAGCTGTAAGTTGCACAATACCAAAGCTCAGGCACTGGAGTTCCAACCAATTAGAGAAGGTCCTTACTGAACACTGGGCATTCAGTAAGAGATGCCAGGAAGGGCATACCTTAGTAATGGAGCTAAACCAGCCTGGAGTATAATACACTACTCTAGAACAAAGCTAAAAAGAAACCTTTTAAAGGATCAAACTGATCTCTGAGCCAATTAATAGCCCACCAACACAAAGTTTAATAGTCATTAAAAAAACAAAAAACAGCCCGGCAGGTATGGCTCAGTGGTTGAGTGTCCCATGCACCAAGAGGTCACTGGGTCCATTCCTGGTCAGAGTTCCAGGCTTGATCCCCAGCAGGGGGTGTGCAAGAGGCAGCCAATAGATGTTGATGTTTCTCTCGCGTTGATGTTTCTATCTCTATCTCTCCCTCTCCCTCCCCCTCTCCCTCTCTCTCTAAAATCAATACAATTTTTTTTAAAAAGCAAAAAGCAAAACCCAGACACTGAAGTTAACACACACTTCTCAGAATCCAAAATTACTAGACATGCATAGAAGCAGAAAAATGTGACCCATAACCAGAAAAGTCAGTCAATAGAAACAGACACAAGAATGACAGACATAACAGGATTAGCGCACCAGGACTTTAAAATAGCTAATACAAAAATATTCAAGTATTTAAAGGAAGTTTAACATAACAAAAGGGAAATAGAAACTAAACAAAATACAACAAAGTCTCAAGCTGAAAAGATCTTCTAAAGCTGAAAAAAATATAAAAATACAAAAATAAATAATAATAAAGCTGAAAAAATATAACACCTGAAATACTGTAATAGAGTCACTAAATGGGCTTAACAGATTCAAAAGAGTACATACTGTATATGTCATTGATGACACTCTGGAAAAAAACAAATCTGTAGGGACAGAAAATATCAGTGGTTGTCGGGACTAAAGGGGTTAGAAGTTGAGGCGAGAGGGTAGACTACCAAGGGTAGTATAAGAGAACTTTTGGGAGTGATGGCAATGGTCTATATTTTGATACTTATCTTAATTATTGTGGTGCTTACATGACTATGTATTTAACAAAATTCATAAAGATACTTTGAAAGAGTGAATTTTACTGTAAATTATACTTCAATAAACCTACTTTTTAAAAAAGTAATAATGCAATAAACCTCTAGAAATGCTTTTAAATGTCGGTACAAACAAAAATAAAATATTTTCTTTCAACAACAAAGATAATAATAAATAAAATAAAAAACAAAAATATTTTTAATATTTTTCAATGTTTGCCCTGGCCACACAGTGTGGTTCAGTTGGTTGGACTGTTTGTTGGTCCATACACCAAAAAAAAAAAAAAGATCTGTAAGTTTGAACTGGAAGAATCAATATGAAATCATTATGTTAAAATATACACAAATTTCCTAGCTCTGTTCAACGAAAAGAGCTTGGAAAGTGTGAAAAAGAGATGGCTTACTATATACAAAGGAACAAGCAAGTAAGCAACATTATCATTGACTATGATATCTGGGTGATAGGATTACAAGTTTTTTCCAAAATTTTTTTGTGCTTGTATTTCATCTTCCCCAAAATACTGAAATTTAATCATGTCTTCCAACAGCAATGCTCGTACTGTTTCAAAATGGAAATCATATTACCCAAGAAGCTATTACAACCAAAGACTGAGCGATCAAAATAAACTACTGGTTATAAAGACCTTCTCATTAAGTCATATGAAAAAGGATACTTACTCTTCCTTAAGTCTCTTTTGAAGCTCATTCTTTGAAAGTTTATTTTCACTGGCATTTTTCATCATATCTTTCCGAAAACGATTGTTCATCATGTCAACCCTATAAAAAACAGAACAGCATGGTTTAACTGACTTTTAAAGAACTAATATAAAAAACAACTGTTGTCTTTAGTAGTTTGAGAAAACTAACTTAATTGAACAATATGTCAAAACTTCTAAGATATGGAACATCTGAGACGCACATTCTCTATTTTCCCCAAAACAAATAAAAAGAAGTCTCCAACATTTTACACTATACAACTTACCCTTTGAAGAGCTAATATTTCAAATACATAATGACTTTAGACACAGCTTATGCCATTCACCTAAATAAAATCCAGGTAAAATAAAAAATTAAATTATTTTTTTAAAAAACTTGAAATACTATGAAGGAAAAATATAGGCACCCATTTATCGCTCTCTGATGGACTTTTTACTTTTTAACAACAACAAAAAAAAGAAAAAGATTCCTAGACTTGACCATATAAAAACTTAAATATTCTATCAGATATTTTAAAAAGCATTAAAAGGCAAACAGAAAGCTCAGAGAAAAACCTACAATAAATTTGACATATAAAGGTTTGAAATTCTCAACGTGTAAGGAGCTGATAAAGCAAGATCATTAAGAAACAGTCTCATCTGCCATTTGTGACGTGAGTGAACCTGGAGACATTATGCTAAGTGAAATAAGACAGACAGAGCCTGGCGGTGTTGCTCAGTGGTTGAGTGTCGACCTATGAACCAGAACATCACATTTGGAGTCCCAGACAGGGCAAATGCCTGGGCTGTGGGCTCAATTCCCAGTGTGAGGCATGCAGGAGGCAGCAGATCAATAATTCTCTCTAGATGTTTCTCTCTCTTTCCCCCTCTCCCTTCCTCTCTGAAAGCAATAAAAATATATTTACAGGGGGGAAAAAATACTGAATGATCTCTTTGTATGTGGAATCTAAAAGGCAGACCACATAGAAGCAGAAAGTAAATGGTAGTTACCAGGGATGGGGAGGTGAGGAAAATGGGAGAGATGTTGGTCAAAACTGCAATTATATAGAATGAATAAGTCTAGAGAGCAAATGTACAGCATAATGACTACACTTAATATTACTGCGTTGTATAGTGGAAATTTACTGAGAGAGTAGATTTCAGGGACTCTCACCACACACAAAAAATGGAAACTATATGAGAAGGATATGTTACTTAGCTTGACTAGTAATCATTTTACTACAAAATATCATGTTGTACCCTTAAATACATATAATTTCTACTAAATAAAGTCTCTACAGTAAACAAATAAACAAAGCCATAATAGAGGACATTTTAAGAAACACCAATGAAAAATGTTTTCTCAGCACTAAGTATATATTTTCCACCCATTAAACTCACAAAGTCTGAAAAAAGCATTGCTTGTAAGAATGAAATGCAATGGGCACCTTTTAATGGGACGATAAATTGGTAGGACCTCATGCTCAGTCTAACAGTGTTCATCAAGAGCCTTAAAAAATGCCTGTGCTCGTTAAGTAATTCTATCATAATCTTTCTTAAATAATTAGAAAAGTGAGTCAATGTTTATGCTCAAATGTGTATCTCAACATTAATTTTTTTAAAGGGGGAAAAAAAACTATCCATCCATTAACAGCTATGGAAATTACGGTAAATTCATACAATGGACTATAATACAACCCTTTTTAAATGTTTATGAAGGTATTTCTTTTTCAAGTGGGGAAAAATACTTGTGTCATTTCATCTACTAAAGTACATATTGTGTATACAGATTTTTTAGTCTTTTCTCAGTTTTAGGCATTGTGCTAAGAGCTCTACATATACTACTTCATTAAATCTCAAGAGCCTTTTGATATAATTACTATCATTATCTCCATTTCACAAAGGAGAAAAGGTAGTTCCAAACTTGCCCAATGATCAGTTAGGAACTGGCCAAATTAAGAGGCAAAATCAGGTCTAGACAACACAGAAGAGAAGCCGAAACCGGTTTGGCTCAGTGGATAGAGCGTCAGCCTGCAGACTGAAGGGTCCCGGGTTCGAGTCCGGTCAGGGGCATGTGCCTGGGTTGCGGGCACATCCCCAGTGGAGGATGTGCAGGAGGTGGCTGATCGATGTTTCTCTCTCATCGATGTTTCTAACTCTCTATCTCTCTCCCTTCCTCTCTGTAAAAAATCAATAAAATATATTTAAAAAAAAAAAAAAAGAAGAGAAGAGAAAGGGAGGGTAGTACGCCAACATGTTAACCTCGGTGGCAAGATTATGAATGACCTTTTCTCTCCTATACTTTCCAATATTTTTCAAATCTTCACATAATCACATATTCGTAAAAAGAACTTTTTTTAAACCTGCGATATAACTCTTAAAGTATTCAGAGAGATTCCGGAAGAAAACATTTGGCAACTTACATTTCCTCATCTTCATCTTCTTCATCCACCCAAACTGGCTTCTTCTGAGGTGGAAAATTATCTTTTGCTTCATTCTCCACCTCTGAGTCTCCTGAGTCTTCCTGTACTTGAACCTAGAGAAGAAAAAAGGCCCTCAAGCACTAAGTTTTTCATGTCCCACGGTGACAGACACGTAAACCTTGGAAGTTACATGGCTTGTAGAATGTTTTGCTTTCACAGCCCTCTGATAAAATAGTAAGACAGAATGCTATCACAGCAAAGGCTGGAGGGAAAAATAGGAAATGAGGAAGTTCGAGAAATGAGGAAGTTCGAGAAAGGTACCACACACTGGACAGGCGGGGTAAGATGGAACAGTCAAGGAGAGAACATCAACATGCTCAAAGGAAAAGACCAAGCAAGACAAGAACAACAAAAGGTAAACTGACAGATGAGGAAAGGAGCAGGAAAAACGCCAGAACTACAGAAATTACGGGACCAGAGGCAGACTAGAATCAAAGATAAAATCACATGACTGAATGTCATAATTTCATATTCTTAAACATACCTCTTCTCCATTTCTTCTGTCATTCCTGACCCCATCCCTTTTCCAGAAATGCTATACTGTACTATCAAGTCTAAATCTAGACCACACACTACCTGAAGTGAGCTTGAGCTTTCCCCAAACCACAGGGTAGAAATAAACAAATTATTCCTACTGGCTGTTACCCACCTACGACCTTACGAAGCCCAATAAATCCCACCTCACATGGACAGTTTCTTTTCCTGACTAGGGAAGAGTCACACGGTTCAGCATTTTTCCAATAGTAGCTCCTTATCTCCCTACTAGATGAGGCACCCAAAGGGGTTTCTGGCCATCAGCTGTTACTTGCTGGGTCCACGCTCATTTAGCAAACCGCCATCATCAGTGAGGTCCTGCGTGGCCACCCTTCTGTCCCCACACTTATCTCCCTTTTCCCGAATGCTTTTTTTCTCTCTTCAGCACTTGTCATTGAGAACTTTACAGTACTTCTCTCCTTTATCTTATGCCTCTGCCACAATACGTAAGCTCCAGGAGGGCAGAGATTTTTGTCATTTTTCCCCCATTGCTGTTCCTGCTCCGGTGCCCAGAACAATGCCTGGGGCTCCTTATCTTCGAATAAAAAGCCAAATATATAACAAAAGATGATTTTTTTTAAGTGTGCAAAAACAGGATTTTCATTGCTAAGAAAAAATACCTGGCACCTAACAGGCTCCCAAATATTTGCTGAACAGACGAATACGTGATCGTTCTCAACGTTGGAGAGAAAATCATTTGGAGAAATGTTAACACGCAGATTCCCAGGCCCGTGCCCACGAATTCTAATTCCACAAACCCAAGTGGAACTCCTGAATCACCGCCAGGTACGGAGGCAGGCGATCGGACGACCCCGAGGGAGGAACACGGAGTATGAGGACGCGCGGGGCTGAACCACGAAAGATGCTCCCGACTACAGCCGCCAAACACATAGGTGTTGCGCGCCCGCTGGGTACCAGGGCAGCAGCTCCCACGCCGGCGGGGAAGGCGCGGTCTCCGCCCTCCCGAGACCCTTCCGCCAGGCCCCCCTCGGCGCCCGCGTTCTCCCCGCTCCCTCCCACCTGGGTCTCCCCGGCGCCGCAGGTCGCCCAGGCTCCGCCTCCGGAGGTTCGCCGCCCACCGCGCGCCCCGCCCGAGCGCGCCCAGCCCGCCGCGCGCCGCGGCCTCTCTCACCCGCGGGCCTCGCAAACGCCGCAGCAGCGCGTCCTCGTTGTCCGCGGCGTCGCCGAAAACCAGCTCCTCCAGGCACCGCTCCACGGCCGGCTTGTCCTCCTCCAGCGTCAGGCGGTGCAGCTCCCGGAGCCGGCTCTCCTCCGCCGCCGCGATCGTGATCGCAGCGGCCGCTGCTCTCGGCCCGGCCGGCGGTTTCCGCTGGGATGAATAAGCAGCCTTTCGGGGCGGCCCGCCCGGCCCCGCTCCGGCTTTCCTGTCCGGCTTCATTGGGATCTTCCGGTTCGGCCTCGATCCGGTTCTCCGCTCCGGTTTCGTTCGGCTCCTCCGTTCGGGTGGCATCGTTGGCTTGGAGAAGAAACGCAGGCGCTCACGTGGAGCCTCCGTGCGCGTGCGCCGAGGCGCGGAGCGGTCCGCGGCGGCCGAGGCCCCCGGGGGCCGGAAGGAGCATGCGCAGCCGGCTAGCACGTGACCACCACTCTCGCCCGACGTAACGCCCACTCCCCGCACGAGCCCCTCCCGTGTGGGAGTTCCTCGGGGAGGAACAATCTTCCGGGTGGAGGGGGAGGCGGCGTGACTGGAGTGGAAAATTTTTTTCCGACACAACTTAGCAGCGGCCACTGATTGAAAGGAGCACGAGGAAGCCAGAGTGTGAACTCAGATGACGGCATGAAACGTTTCCTCTTCCTCCTGACTTTTTAGCCGCGCCACTTAACGCGAGCCCCTACTGTATTTTCCACCCCTCCGTCTTGGTACGGCCCTAGGAGTACGGAGCCTGCCGAGGGTCCCACGCTGGACGCGAGCGAGGAGGGTATGTAGGGAAGTGGGCCAATCGGGGCGCGGGTCACGGCGCAGGCGCGCTGGGGAGGGAGGGCTATGCTAATGTTGTTGATATCCTGGGGCCACCCTAGTTAAAGGGGGGAAATCCGGGGGCTGCCGCAGCCGCCACGGGTCTGGGCCCAGCCGGGGCACCCCTGGAGTCGCCGTTGCCCCGGGGAGAGGTGCCTGCCCCCCAGCTCGGGGAGGGGGCGCCGCGGGCCTGGGGAGCACGGACCACCCCGACCCATGAGGCCCTGATGGAAAACACAAAGGATCTGGTGAGAGCCGAGCGCGGCAGCCGCTTTGTGTGCCAGGCGAGGGGGCGACGCCTGCAGCTCCCCGACCCCAGGAGCCCCCGCAGCTCTTTGACCCCGCTCCCAGGCCTGCTCCTCCGTCCCACGCCCCCTCCGCCCCCGGAGCTCCCCTCCCCCTACCGGCCGTTAAACGATTCGGGGGGGTTCCCCTCCCCCCACCTCCCCAGCCCCGGATCCGTCGGGGTTCTCTCTCTATACGCTCTCTCTGCACTCTCTGGAGGAAAACATTGGGGAGAAAGTTTTCTCCGCGTCCCGTCCCCTCCCCCTGCGGCTCCGGCTGGTGGAGGGGGGAGGCGAGACCTGTGACTTCCACTTTGTTGAGCCGCCCCGGGTGGGCGAGAGGCGTCCTCGCTTCCCCGAGGGGCCGGGGCGGCGGGGCTGCGCTCGGGGACGGAGCTTCCCGCCGCCTCGGGCCGGTGCCGCGAGCATTTGCACCTTTGAGGTGAATGTTGATAAGGGGGCCGGGGTGGGCACTTGTGGAAAGCCAAAGTGGGGAATGAGGTTCGGGGAAACCAGCCCGCCCCGGGCTGGCGTTAAATTTATAAATAAAAAGGGTTTCT